GGGAAGAGGAGGCTGAGCGAGACCTGAGGGCGGCCTGTCTCTGTCTACAGGGGGGATGTAAGAATGACAGGGATAGACTCTTCAGCAGGCTGTTGCATCATGTTCAGCTTCTGACGTGTTCCCACACTAGATCACTATCTTTAAATTGGAATGAGATGGATTTGAAGGGTGGACTATTTGATGGGTATGGAATTGGTTGAATGGTTGCAGCCAGAGGGTTTTGGTCAATGGCTCCATGTCCAGTGGAGGCCAGTGACTGGAGGTGCCCCCAGGGGTCCATCTTGTGGCTGACATTCTTCAACATTTTTATCAATCACATCACTGGGATTGAATTCACCTCAGCAGGTTTGCTGATGACACCAAGCTGAGCCGTACAGCAGTACGGCAGAAGGAAAGGATGCCATTCAGAGGACCTGGACACACTCAAAAAGTGGGCCAACATGAAACAAATGAGGTTGAATAAGTACTGAGTTCAGATTTAGGCCACTCTCTACAAGAAAGACATCGAGGCCATGGAGCAGGTACAGAGAAGGGCAACAAAGCTGTGAGGGGTCTGGAGCACAGGGCTTCTGAGGAGCGGCTGCAGGAGCTGGGATTGTTCCGTGTGGAGAAGAGGAGGCTCAGGGGAGACCTCACTGCTCTCTGTAACTACCTGAAGGGAGTTGCAGCGAGCTGGGGGTCGGGCTCTTCTCTCATGAAACTGGTGATAGGACTGGAGGGAATGGCTTCAGTTGTACTGGGGAGATTCATGCTGGACATCAGGACATCAGGAAATCCTTTTCTGAAAGAGTGGTCAGGCACTGGAACAAGCTGCCCCGACCCTGGAGGTGTTCAAGGAACATTTAAACATTGTGTTGAGGGACATGGTTTAGTGAGAACTGTTGGTGACAGATGGATGGTTGGACTGGATGATCTTGTAGGTCTTTTCCAGCCTTGGTATTCTATGATTCTCTGATCCTGTAAGTGCAAGGTGTTGCACCTGCGTCAGTGCAGTCTCAGGTGTGTGCACAGACTGGGAAGAGAACTCCTTCAGAGCAGCCCTGCAGAGAAGGACTTGACATGAATGATTTAACATGGCCCAGTCCCCCTCTATTCTGCTCTCATGAGCCCCACCTGCAGTACTATGTAAAGGTCTGGACCCTCAGCACAGGAGGGATGTGGAGCTGCTGGGGCTGGTCCAGACGAGGGCCACAGAGATGTTCAGAAGGCTGGATCACCCCTCCCGCAAAGAAAGGCTGAGTGAGTTGGGCTTGTTCAGTCTGGAGAAGAGGACCTCTTACTGCATCCTTCCAGTACCTGCAGGGAACCTACAGGCAGGAGGGGAACTGACTTTTACACAGTCTGATAGTGATAGGATAAGGCGGAAGCTCTAAACTAAAAGGGGTTAGGTTAGATGTCAGGAGAAGATTGCTCACTAAGAGAGCAGTGAGGCCGTGGCACAGACTTTCCAGAGCAGCTGTGGTGCCCCATCCCTGGAGGTGCTCAAGGCTGGGTTGGATGGGGCCCTTAGCAGCCTGAGCTGGTGGGGGCAATCAGCCCATGCAGGGGTTGGGGCTGGGTGGGCTTCGACGCCCCTTCCAACGTAAGCCATTCTGTGATTCTATGAAATGACACCAGGCTGCTTGGGAGGTTTCCACGGCTGGCTCCACGACTGGTTAATCAGCAGTAAGGCTGATTAATGGAGTAAGGGCTGGACTCCCTGCTTAGTTGTTACTGTTATTCCAAGCCCAAATCTCATGTGATGGCTGCACTTACCTGGTTTCAGGGAGGTGCCCTTCAGCCCTCACCTGTCAACACCTTGCTGCCTCCACGTGGACACTGCAATGGGACATCCCAGCCAGGGCCCTGCATTCACACTGGAAGCACAGCGTGGTGCAGCTTCCCACAGCCACAGGTGCCATGGCTCGAGTTCAGGTGTGGGTCCAGAGTGTGTGGGTGGTGGCACAGTGCTGGCCACCCTGGGGACACCGTGCCCATGTCACGCTGCTGCCTGCATCCCTGCCACCTGTGCCCATTGTCTCCCCTTGTAGGACTGAAGAAGGGGTGCCAGGACAGGGGTGTCTGCTCCTTGCCAAGGAACAAGCCGTTCACCCTCGTTGGCCATCACCACAATAACCACATCCTGATCCAAACAGGCAAAGAACAAAAACAGCTGTGAAAGCCGTCACGCTTTCTTAGAGGCTGCTTTTATTACTGTGACCTACTGGCATCGCTCTTTAAGCTTATACAATGAGCTGCCTACAGGCTTTCATTCAAAGGCTGGGAAATTTGGTGGTACTGTGTTGTTGGACAATTCCACAATTTTCTTTTCTTACTTTTCAAGCACTTCAGTTAAAATTGTATCTTAAAGAGTCGGCTTTTGGAAAGGTTCATATGGACACGTCTGTAGGCTGAGGTGGTTTTGGTTACTTTGGGCAACCAAAGAGAAGTCATTTTCTCCACTGTTTGTGGAGAAATGATTCCCAAGGCTGACTCAGCCACGGGGCTCCTCCTGGCTCCCGCTTTGCTTAACACCCTTATCTGAGACTTGCCAACAAATCCACCTTCAAGATACGAGATGCACCACTGGGCTCGGTAATGCTTGTGGGTTCCTTCCAACTTGGGATATTCTGTGATTCTGTGACTCTAAAGGTCAATGGTAATGGCAGCGTTGTAGGTTCTGTTCTGCTGGATTAAGCCCGTCTATGTGTAAACGAGCTGTACCTGAGCAGCCAAAGTGAACTCAGCAGCCTTGTGGGAAAGGGAAACTTAATGTGCAGCCAATTCCCAGAAAAAGGCAAAGTAAACACTGGGGCAGGAATTTCCTACAGAAGAGCAGCCAGGAAGGGCCAGCCAGGCATGGCTGCTGTCACAGAGTGGGGAGTGAGCAGCAGGAGCACAGGGGCTGGGAAATCCATCAGGAAATGAGCCATAGGATGTGGCCCCTCATGGAAGTGCAGTGTTGGTGGGTCTGCAGGTGGTGGTAACAAGTTGACACTGACTGATGGTAACAAGTGGCACTGAGATGGCACTGGGGCAGCTGTGCAGTGCAGTGCTCAGCATTATGGGCAGGGATCAGTTCTGTAATCGGAGCTCAGAAGTGAATCTAAAGGGAAAGAGAAACTGACCACAGCAGCCAATTTTCTGTTTCCCTTACAAGAAATAGGGAGTGCTTTCTGACATGCAGGTCACCATGAGGTTACAGTGTGATGAACACAGAAGTAAAACACTCTTATTTTAACAGACCCCTGGAATGTTGCGAAAGAGCATATGAGAAAAAACAGTGAAAAGCAAGTTACATCAGCCTCTCTGGCGAACAAAAAGTGTTACAGAAGGGGAAGCATGAAAATACACAAGAAAAGCAACTGTTAGACCCCAGGACAATTGTGATATTCGTTGGCAATGAAATATGGTCATCCAAGATATTAATGGAATGTTTGTTTTTCCATAAACAATATTGTTTCCTCCAACAAAAGCCAATTTGATAAAACAACAGTGAACCTGCACACCAGCTCTGAGCAAAAAGAGCCCAGGAGCAGGCGGGATGTGGCTGGGCTTTGTGCTCTTGGCTGCCTTCTGCAGTGCACTGGGGTCCTGGAGCAGGTCTGAGCCATCGGGTCTGCAGCAGGAACCCTAAGCCCGGCCGCACGCAGGACTGAGCTGTAGGGAGCACATGCTGTGGGCCTGCAGACCCTTCCAGTCTGGTCCCAAAGTAGCATGCATGATTGAGCAAGGAGAGCAAGAATGGGATGGGGCCTGGGGGCTGCCATTCCCAGATGGGCATTAATGATGTCAGACACCATGTGCATGGCTGTGCTGTGATCAACAGACAGCAGAAGATTGACCAGTGAAAAAGGGATTTTCCCCAGCTGAGCACCCTGCTGACAGCTTCCTTGAAGGGTCCTGCACAAACATGAGTTGTAAGCAAGGAGGGTCAGTTTCAGCACACTATTTTGGGAATGTTTGCAACCAGGAACGGTAAATGTGGGCTCACCCCGATTGCATAACACTGGGCAGAGTCAGAGATGGGAGCAATAAAAAGGCGAGAGAGCGTGCAGGAGGGATGAGTCCTGCCAGCAGCACACCCGGCTGTCCACCTGCTGCAGAGATGGTGCACGCAACCTCCTCCCTGCTGCTGCTGCTGCTCAGCCTGGCTCTGCTGGCTCCCGGACACTCTGCCAAAAAGGTAACGGGATGGAGCTGGGAGAGGGTGCCCCTAGGTGCCCACCCCGGCCTCCTGCCCGGCACTGAGTCCTTCCCTTCATCCCAGTGCTCGCTGACCGGGAACTGGACCAACGACCTGGGCTCCAACATGACCATCGGGGCCGTGAACCACAGGGGCGAATTCACAGGCACCTACTACACAGCTGTAACAGCCACATCAAATGCCATCAAACTGTCACCACTGCAGGGGACCCAAAACAACATCAACAAGAAGACCCAGCCCACCTTTGGCTTCACTGTCAATTGGAAGTTTTCAGGTACTTCTCCCCCAGCCTCCCTGCAATGACCCTGTTCCTCTGCTGCCCTTCCCTGTGACATCCCCTTTGCTCTCCTGCCCTTCCCCACGATGTCCCCACTGGTCTCCTCCAGTTCTATATGGTGGCCCTGATGATCTCTCCTCCTCTCTGTGATGTCCCTGACGATTTCCTACCCATACCCGTAGTCCCCCCAGTCATGCCCTGCCTCTCATGGCCCCAGTGCTGCTCCATCCCTGCTGTGTTCTCAGCAGCCCCATCCCTTCCCCCAGAACTGTGGACTGCTGTCACCTCCTGGTCCCCAGGATCAGGGGAAGTGCTGGGGATGTCCCCAAGGGGCAGGGAGAGCTCAGATGAGTTGTCTCCAGGGCAGAGGGACCATAGCTCTGGCACTGCCCTGCTCTGTGTGGAGCTCATGACCCCACTCCCCTCATCTGCCCCTTTTCCCACAGATTCCACCACTGTCTTCACGGGTCAGTGCTTCATAGACAGGAATGGCAAGGAGGTCCTGAAGACCATGTGGCTGCTGCGGTCAAGCGTTGATGACATTGGCGATGACTGGAAAGCCACCAGGTGAGCCCAGAGCAGAGGCACAATGTCCCAGGCAGTCCTAGAGGCTGTGCACTTACCACCTTACATGTCCCCTCTGTTCCCCACAGGGTTGGCAACAATATCTTCACTCGCCTGCGCTCAGTGAAGGAGTGAGGATGGCTCTGCGAATCCCACGTCAGCAATAATGCGGGAGCGCTGACTCTGCTTGTGACATTCCTTCCAATAAAGCTTTACATCAGACACACTCTGGCTCTTGCAATGTCCCTTTGGTCTGCACTTCTGGCCCCCATATCCCCCCGTCACATCCCAGTTCCTCTCCCCCCACCTGTCCCACACCCCATGGCGTGGCAGTGCCAGCAGTGACACTTTGCGACACCACGTCCCCTGTGCCACCACAGGCACTGCTCAATGCCTTTGAGACCGCACACATTTAGGAAATGGGTAGGGAAGAAAGCTTAAGAAGTCAAAAGGGAACAGAAGACTGTGCAGGGGCTGCGTGTGCTCGGGCCCACAGAGCACAAAGGGAGGGCTCCAATCCCCACAGCATGCAAGGAAAGCTGTCAGGGACAGCTCTGCCAGGAGCTTGCAGAAATAGCACGCTTCCTGGTCCTCTGTCTTGCAGGAATAAAACATGAACCTCTTTGACCGAAGGACTCATTCCTGGCATTTTTATCATCGCTGCCCCTCATCCCACAGTGGGAGGTCCAGGCTGCATTTCCTTTCCCCTGCTGGCTTAGAGCTGCTTGCTGTGGCACACAAGTGAGAGCAAAGAAAGCAAGGAGAAAAAACAGCAGTACTAGGGCAGAACAGGCTATGAGAGCAGATCAGCCAGCCCTGAAGCCCCCTACTATTCTACCTAGTACAGCTGTGGGAAATGCTCCAGACTCTTCACCTCAGTCTCAGTATCTTTCTGCAGAGAAGGGTTGTGCTGGCTGGTATGGCAACACCCCGTGCCAGCAGCACCAGGTCCAGTGTAGAGCCCCCTGCTCCTGGCCCCAGAGCCACTGTGGTGTCTGCTCCCAGCACTGCTGGCAGCACCACCCTTTGCTTTGCTTTTGGATCACTCAAAGGGATTTGGGATAGAGCTGGGCTAGCACCAGGGGCTGCAGGTTGCATCAGTGCCATTACACATCTTAGCTTTGACTTGTGAAAAAACACAACAAAATCCAGCCAAGACTCCTACACCTCCCCACCACTGAGCAGGGCTCCTGGGGCAGGAGATGCAGGGTGAGCATGGCTGCCTTCCCAAGGCCAGACTGAGGGGCTCTGAGCTAACAGGATGAGCTGCCTCATCCTGTTAGAAGCATGCTATTGTCAGTTAGAGACATGACCCAGGCTTGAGACATCCTTCTTTACTTTTTCTCCTCCACAATGAAATCTGGCATACACTTCGACTTCTTGTCCATCTGCACAAGAACCTTTTCATACCACAAGTGTGTGCTGCTTGCCTCTCCAAGTTCCTGCACCCCAAACCCTGTGCAGGGCTCAGCAGCCTGAACACCACAGCCACTGATGCCTCTGTGGATCCAGTGATCCTGCCTGACTCCAATACGTAGCCTTGATCTAGTAACCACCACCTTCCTAGCAGTCAGGGCCCTCCAATTCCCCCCAGCAATGGGGCTATTGCACCACTCCAGACTCGCAGCCTTCCCGCAGTTGGGCAGTTTCTCCTTGTGAAAGCAGAGGTGGGGGCAGACAGCAGTTACTTGTGCTTCCTACAAGGGAAGCTGCTTAGTTCCGTTGTGGTAACAGCTTTTCTGTGTGGCATGGTGCTGTGAGCACTGTCACTGTGCATGTGTGCTGGCAACATAAATTTGTCCTGAACGATTTTGAAGGTATTTGCATGCCCCTGGCCTCTGCTGGCCTGGGAGCAGGGCTCCTGCACTCAGGGTACTTTCACAACGCTCCCAACCCCTTGCCCCAAACCCAAGCCCCGTCCTCCTCTGGTCAGCCCAGCCCCAGATTGAAAAGACTATGGAGTGCAGTTTGCACAGAGGGCATGTTTTATTTTCCCATCATTAACAAGGAAATGTCATTTGCTTAGATCTAAAGTAAGACAAGAAGATATGTTCAACAGGTACCACTCAACTGTATTCCAGGAAAGACAAAAAGCCCCAGTGCAAAGCGCTTCTGCTCAGCCTCACAGAGCAACCAGAGCCAGCAAAAAGCCTCACTGGTCAGTGCAGGAAAGCTCAACCTCACAGTGCAGCTGTGAACCTCAGGTGCAGAAAGGAAAACCTTCAGAATAACAGGCTCAGCTTCTCTGAGCTCTCTGCTGCAGTTAATAGTCTAGCAGAAAGCTTCCTCATCTCCCTGGGCAGAAGCCCAGCTCCCAGAGCTTTGGGAGAGGAGTGGCTCAGGCCTCTGTGACAGAAATGGGCATGCACAACATGGAAAGAACTCCCCATCATCTCCTCTAGCTACGCCAGAAGCTGCACCCATGGCTCAACAGTGAACAAGAACAGGGGAAGTGCAGGGTCTGCTGCAAGGACGGGACGACTCCCTGTCAGGGCACTAAAGATAAGCATCACACTGAGAAATCAGAAATCACTGTAGGACTAAAGATAACGGACAAGGGACATGTGCTTGTGGCCACCAGATGCAGTAAGAAGCACAGGACCCAGCCTGTTCACTTCCATCTGGGCAGGGAGAAGCAAGGCAATGGCATTCATCAGCAGCAGCCTGCAGGTACTCACACCTCAGGCCCAGATGCTTTCAGCTTCCGGGCCAGAGCCCATCCCCAGTGAGTCTGAAGGCTTGCCCAAGGCTACAGGGAACAAAGCTCCCTGAGCTTCCTACCACATCTTGGATAGGAGCCTCTGTTACAGTTACACAGAGCAGAATGTAAGGATAGATCATCTCTAAAATGATTCCTCTCTAAAATGATTCCTCTGAGCTGCCAGCAATCAGGAGACTACATAAAAGCATTTGCTTTTACAGATTATCTGTTAACACAGTTCTGGCTGACCCTCCCAGCAGGGTGCCCAGCCTCACCCTGTCAGGCAGCAAGGAGGGGACGGTCACATCTCATGGTCACATCTCATCGGTGCGGTGCTGCTGGATGACAACGCTGGTGGTGTGCTCCACCCACTCCTGACTCTCATCTTTCCATGGTGCCAGCATCTCTGACTGCAAGGCATCTCTCTGGGAGTGCTGCTCCTGCGGCTGCGGAGGACCCAGCTCAGAGCCCGCTGTCCCAGGAGGGTCAGAGGATGAGTTGCTGTTGAATGCAGGCCTTGGGTCAGGCTTGGGTGGACTCTGCCCCTCTTCCCGTGACTGATTGAGGCTGCCCAACAGTGAAGTGTCTTCAGGCTCTGGACTGAACCTCTCCAGTACAACTTCCTCCTGCACAGCAGGTGCTGCCTGCCAGACCTTGTTTGGGAACTCACGAATCTGCCGTGACAGAACTGCAAAAGAGGGAGAGCCAGCTTCAACACTCCCACCCTGACAGCAGGATGCATCAACCTCTCACGGTCCTGCAGGTCAATACAGAACCTGCGAGATAAACTCAAATTGTTCAGCTGGGGATGCCTCCTCCCAGTGAGGCACAGAAAGAACATTGAACTCTGCCGTTCTGGTGGTATCACCCCTAGCCCTGGGTGAGAGGGACAAAGAATCTGGAGACAGGCTAAGAAAGGGAAGGAAAACCAATGCTCGTATCAGGCAAGGGGCTCTTGGGATGGAAGTGCCCCAAAATTCAGGCTGTCTCTGTGGGAAGTGCTCTGTTCTTGCAGACAACATTTTTTATGGAATCATGCTTGGGGAACTCACCTCTGAACTCTGGCTGTGGCCCTCTGCTGCCGAACGAGTAGAGGCTGGGTGAGAGAATGAGGCAGAAGGAAAGGACAAGGACCTGGAAACAAAGAACAGCAAAGCCTTCAGCAAAAGACGTGAATAGGCATCATGAGCTGCAATAAATGCTTGCCTGCCAAGCTTATGGAGACAACAGAAACTCCTCCATCACAAACACGGGGGCTGAAGGTGCTCACCATGATGCAGGTGCTTGCTGTGGTAGTTTTGGTTGTGGACTGTCTCACCAAGGCCTGCAGTTTACGCAGCTGCTCCAGCAGAGACCTGCAGGATAGCAAACAGTGAAGGTTAATGTAGCAGCTGAGGCATGAACTGTGCTCCCCTCCTTCACAGCCAGTGGCAGAATACAATCCTTGCAGAGGAACAACCTTCCCCATCACATCTCCTGCCACGTCAAACAACAAAAACTCACATGTTCTGCTTCTGCAGGAGCTGCACCTTCTTCTGCAGCTCATGGTTTTGGGCTGTGCAAGCTGCCACCCTGCCCAGGACAGACAAACAGCAAGGGAGAAGAACAGAAAGGTTTTAATTTGTTAGACAACAGCAGGAACTTTTCTGGCATCCCATTTCACGGGACCAGCCATCGCCCCTGAGTGGCTGGGGCAGATGAAAACACTTCTGGAGTCTATTGGACATCAAGTGGCACAAAGCCCAGAGACCATACCTCGCACAGGACATGGGAAAAAAGGGCTGGGAGGGAGATGAAGTCTTTGCTGAGTCCCTCAGGGAATCGCCATACTAACCTGTAAGGATGCTTGCTCCTGACAGCACAGCAGCACCATTGTTCAGAGATACCAGTTTGTACTGCAAACTAGCCTGACACTGAGAACATGCTGGACCTAGCAGGTCAGCACCTGGCTCAAAGTGAGAAGGCTCTGGGTCTTCTCCAAGTGCAAGAGAGCAGACAGACTATGGCCCAAGCTACTGAGCTCCCTCCAGGGTCTGCTTATCTTCTGCCCACAGCGGCAAGACCTCAGCAGTAGCACAGCACAGTACTGTGTGCTCATACCTGTTCTCCAGGCCATCAACATAGATTTTCTTCCTGCGACGACTATCCTGGGCTGACTGCTTGTTCCGGATCTTCCGACGCACTTTCTTCAGAAGTCGCTCCTCAGCCTGCAATAACCATTTCTCATTAGCAGCCAGCCCTGGGTGAAGGCAATCCAGTCTTTACAAATCCTGTGTAGCACTCAGGAGCCCTGCTTAGAGAAGCAGAAAGCAATGTACTTTTGTCCTCTGTCCCTTTCAGACCATTGGACAAACTGCACAGGTTGCACAGCAAACTCTGGTCTGCTGATAAGACTGGCAATTTCACGGCATACCAGAGGACTGGGTCACACTGGAGGGAGATGGAAAACACACAACTCAGGAAGCACCAAGTAAGCAGGATGAAAAAGGCTGCAAGCACTGGTGGTGTAGGAGAGCACATTGTCCCACCACCAAAGCATTTTCAGCACTGAAGGGTAGGAGGAATCCAAGTTTGTTTGGGAGTTACAGGCCGCAGTGAGGACTCACTTTGGTCAGTGGCAGACAGGTTGGTAAGGAAACACCATCCTTTTCCAGAAGCTGCCTCTCCTCCTCAGTCAGGACCAGCTCTGGGAAGTTGGACTGGAAGAAAAAAAAAAACAGCCAAGCAAGAAAAATACATCTACTGAGAGCACAAAATAAAGGGAGTCCTTTATTACTAGGTAGAGAAAGTGTGCAAACTTTTCAGAACCAGAATCTGCTCTCCCAAAGCAGCACCACTGTCTCCCTTAAAACATTCCTCGAGTGGCTGTGCCCAGAAAGGGAGATGTGAGCAAAAGCAAACAGAGTGCCCAGAAGTACACACTTCCTGAGGCACAAGACTCAGTACCTGTATGGGGGCTCCAGGAATATGCTGGGGTCCAGCATCCACAGCAACAGTGATTGGAAAACTGCAGTCCTGTTCCAGCGTCTCATTCGTGCCTTCCAAACACATCCATGTCTCTGGTAATAAAGGCAGAATGGGCCTTAATAAAGCTGCATAAAAAACTTACCAGACAGATTTGATCAGCATGAAATCAGTTATATGGCAGTGAAAAGCCACCATGCTCATCTTTCTCCAACATTATTTTGTGTCCCTACACCAAATCTCCACACCAGGCACAGCACTGCCTGCAGCTAGGACAGAGGGATCGCACACATCACTTACCAAGGTCAATGGAAACATCTCCTTCTGCCATGTCAGACCTCACGCTTTCCAGTGCCTGCCAATCTTGATGGAGGGAATAGTTGTGATCAAACTGCACGATGTCTGAGCTCTGAGGGCTGCTGGCAACATCGCTGCCTGAGCTGTGGAACAGGTTCTGATCCTCAGAAGTGCTGCTATCACTGTCAGCAGGGAAACAGCCCTGCAGCGGGCACAGTTCGTCCTCAGAGGGGCTCAGCAGGGAGCTGATGAAGCTGTCCATTTCCTTGTCCAGGAGCTGCGGAGAAAAACCTCCAGCTAAACAGGAGTCAACCCTCCCGCCAGCACTCGGCAGCGACTCCTCCACGACCCACCTCGAGCTCAGGCAGCACCCAGTCCCCCAGCGGCGGGCTGTCCCCCGCGGGGCTCCCCGCCACCGGCGCGTCATCGTTCAGCAGGAAGTCGAGCAGGTCCCCGTCCGGCAGCGCGGCCAGAGGCTCCAGGCCCGCCATCGGAGCCAGGAAGCGCCCAGCCCCAGCGGGAAAGAGCCACGAAGGGTGAGAGCGCAAGGCGGGGAAGCCGGGCCTGGGCGGCGCCGGGAAGACGGGGGGCGGGCCGGGCCTCGGGGCCCGAGCAGCGCGAGGAGACAGAACGGGAGGGCCGCAGACGCTGCTCGGCGCGCAGCGCAGCCGCTCCAGGGAGCGCAAGGGCCGCCGTGGGGCCCCGGGCCGGAACGGGCCGCTCCTCCGCTCCTCCGCTCCTCCGCCGCCCCGCGCTCCGAAACCCGCTGCCGCGTCCGCCCCTCCGCGACCACCGCCCCGCGGTGCCGTCACCGCCGCCCGGCAGCCCCCGCGCGAGGCCCCGCCCGCCGCGCCCGGCCCCGCCCGCCGCGCCCGGCCC